ATGAAAAGAGAGTCAGGTATAAAAAGAAACTTGATGTGCTCAAGTGGCTCTTTATTAATAGGGTTGTATCCCTCTGTTTATAAAGCAATCACCCCAAACAGATTGATGTAGCTATTAACTTCAATATCTTTCAAAAGTCAGTATGCTTATCCAATATATGTATAGGATTTAAATCTATATCTAGCAATTTCTCAGGCCATGACCAGAGGATATAAAAACAAGCTCAAAAGAGATCTATCTTTAAGGGAAAATGACCACGGGTTGCTGAGGGTGGGGGCATAGTTGATTTTGAGGTAGTCACAGAGTTTGAGTGGCTAGTTCTCAGTTCCTCTGCATAAACAATGCATTTCTGTCCTACACAGAAATGTAGCAACCCTTTCCTGAGCCCAAGCCAAGCTCCAGCTAGAGAGATCAGCTTCCTTGACTTGCATCCAGCCATAAAATCAAATGGAGAGTTTGCTCTGTGGTTGGTCTCTAACATCTCCAGCTGGGTTTGCTAGTAACAACAAGAGCAGCATTTATCAAATACTTGCCAGATACTATTGTAGGGGTAGTAGGTGCATTTGATCCTCTTAAGAACCCAATGAGATGGGTACTACTCCAGTTAATAGATGAGAAAACTGAGGCATGGATGGAAAGGAAGTTTCTTAAGGCTACATGGTCAGTAAGTGGAAGAACCAGGATTCAAATTCAGGTTTATCTGAATTCTAGAGCCTATGTTCTCTGCTATACCACTTCCAGACCATCGTCACCGTGTTTATAAAGGCTTCTCTGCTTTTGTGGGCAGAAAAATAAATAAAGATTTTTAAAAATTGTCTGAGCATATAGGCTCACTTCCTAGTGAAAACAGATGTTCATTTGAGGAAGACAGATGACATTTTGTGTGGAGGGGGAATCAGAGACACCACATTGAGATGTGGACTTTCAGGCTGTGGACTTAGTTGTAAACAAAGGAGAGACGATGGTGGTGACGATGATGCTGCTGATCCTACACAGAACCAAAAGGTGCACTTGTTTCTAGAAGCCTCTACCACTCCCTGTGGAGAAAGCTATGCTTTTTCCAAGTCTACAGGGCAAAGTGGACTTGCAGTGGGTGGGGGGATTCTGGCTGCTGGCTAAGCCACAAGGGTCCTTTCTTCACCTGCCCCTGCCACTCAGTGGCTACTGTGAGTGACAAAATGCCAGTGTATTGAAGCACAGATGATTTCCTAAAGCATTATAAACACTTCAACTGTTGAGTTTTCCTTTTCAACCCAGGAGAGCCACAATTCTGGAGACTAGCAGTACACCTTACCAGGGAAGGCTAGAAACAGGGGTTAGGAGGGAGGAGGGGACACACAGGGCAGTGGGAAGTTCCTCTTCTCCCAGAAGCTTGCTGCGGAGTAGCTGCCTCCAGCTGCCTGGCAGTAGCCATTGTGAAAGGAAAAGGGGCGGGGGCTAGGCGCAGTGGCTCATGCCTGTAATACCAGGCTTTGGGAGGCCGAAGTGGTTGTATCACGAGGTCTGGAGTTTGAGACCAGCCTGCCCAACGTGGTGAAACCCCGTCTCTACTAAAAATAGAAAAAATTAGGTGGGTGTGGTGGCAGGTGCCTGTATTCCCAACTACTCAGGAGGCTGAGATGGGAGAATTGCTTGAACCCAGAGGTGAAGGTTGCAGTGAGCCAAGATGGTGACACTGCACTCCAGCCTGGGCAACAAGAGCGAAATTCTGTCTCAAAAAAAAAAAAAAATTAGCTGGGCATGGTGGCTCGCACCTGTAATCCCAGCTACTCAGGAGACAGAAGCAGGAGAATTGCTTGAACCCAGGAGATGGAAGTTGCAGTGAGCAGAGATTGTGCCACCGCACTCCAACCTGGGTGACCAAAAAAAAAAAAAAAAAAAAAAAAAAAAAAAAAATAGAACAAGGGGGCCGTAAGGGATCACCTCCAATCCAACTCCCTTGAGTTTCGTCTATTTCTTTGTTTAACAATTTCCTCTTCCAAAATAAAATTTCCCATAAGTATGTTTCTGTTTGTTAGCTCCTTCTAAGCATCCTGAGCCTGGAACTATTATTTACCTTGGACCTCACATGATGCAAGGCATTTAGTAGGTGTTCAATATAAAAGCTGAAGAAATAGGCTGGGCGTGGTGGCTCACGCTTGTAATCTCAGCACTTTGGGATGCCAAGGAGAGCGGATTACGAGGTCAAGAAATCAAGATCATCCTGGCCAGCATAGTGAAACCTTGTCTCTAATGAAAATACAAAAATTAACTGGGCGTGGTGGCACACACCTGTAGTCCCAGCTACTTGGAAGGCTGAGGCAGAAGAATAGCTTGAACCTGGGAGGCAGAGGTTGCAATGCTCTGAGATTGTGCCACTGCACTCCAGCCTGGTGACAGAGTGAGACTCCATTAAAAAAAAAAAAAAAAGGTTGAAGAAATAATCAGAGGCCTTATTTAGATAGCTCAGACTACAGAGATCTACAGAGGAAAAAAAGTTGCTTGGGGATCAAAAAGGGTATGTCTGGAAGGGTGCTTTGCAAAGCAATGAGGAAAAGGGCTGGAAAGGAGGCAGAAAGGTTCAGAAAGAGAGGTGGACAAGTGGTACCCTGATGCCTCTGGTTAGAGGCCAAGTGGCTGCTAGAAACTTCTCCCTGTAGAGATGAGTGGTCACCCCAGCTTATCACAAGGACAAGGCAGAGCAGTGTATTGGAAAGAACATGAGAACTAGAGTCAGTGCACTCAACTCTTGGCTTTGCCAAGCTTGCCGGGACAATCAAATTATTCACATAAAGGGCCTGCGGGCACAGCTGGAGCCCACAGGGCACAAGGTGAAAGTCTTAGGTGAGCAGAGGGAACCCCTTCAATGTTCTATTCTATGCAAATCCTCTCCTTCTCACCACCCATACACAATCCTGTGATCAAGATAACCCTATATTTTATTTGTTGTGAAAACAAGGCTATTTGCTTTTTCAATGAGTTTATTTTAGTCATAAAATGCTACATCAAGAGCAATTACCATTAGCCTAAATGCTTTGTGCAGGATGCTACATAATTAGGGTATTATGACCTCTGATTGACTGGATTTGACTGGAACATTCCCAGGGGAGCAGGATGCTGTAACTTCTTTGCAATAAGGTGATGTTTTATATTTAAAAGGCAAATATCTGCTGACCTCACTAGTCGGCGACCACAAAATGGGATCCCATTTATATTTATGCCCAGTATAAATTGGTTACTTTTGGAATTTTCAAGCAGATCTTACAAACCAGTATGTGCCCACAAACCAGTATGTTAGCTGCAGCGACAATGAGAAAGTCACCTCACACACACAATCCTCTCCTATTCCTGCATCTGCTGAAGCTGATACTGATGCTGTTGTCCACACAGATGTCATGATGGGCCAGTGTGTTGTGCTGCATGTTCCCAAAATGTTCCCAAAGCCACCAGTTCTCAAGGAGCCTGAACTGTGCTAGATTCCAGAGATAGAATGGTAAGGACTGCCTTTCCAAGCCAAAGTTACCATTTTCCAGCCAGTCTCAGACACCACTCTATTTGTATTTTAGGGTCTCATAGTTGCTCATAAACATTTTGGTCAGGTCCTGACTCTCACCCAGAAGCACAGCTTCTGCTGAAAGAAGTCCCATCAGTTTTGGCCCTTACTCTTCTAACTATAGGGACTCAACCCCAGTTTAGGGGCTACAGAAGACTTCACACCATTTCTTCACTCCTTCTTCCTGCTGGTTCTTTCCCTTTTTCCCTCCTACAGTGACTGCAGAAATCCCCAGGTATATCAATGGACACAAACAGATATGGATTGCAGTGGTGACAGGTGTTAACAACAGTGGTAGGGTCTGGGGCCAACTAATTCTAAGTATCTACTTGATGTTCAGTTCAGGGTGTTACGCAGGCCAAATACTCCAAAACCATGTCTCTACCTAAAAAACGGCTGAAAATATGGCTACATTTACATTTCCTGGTGAACGCAGTGGGAGCTTATAGGGGAAGCAGTTAAGCCTTGGCATATTTAGGGCAGTCCCCTGGTTTTTCTTGTGCCCTTCTTGGAGTTTGCCTTGAGGTAAGCAGTACAGTGCTGGGATCACAGCAAAAGCTGGACAAGAGTTTGAATGAAGACACTGTGCATGCTAGCAAATCCCATATATAGGAGTCTGGGAGGTCAAGGCTACAGTGAGCTGTAATCCCACCACCACAGTTCAGTCTGGGCAACAGAGTGGGACTCTGTCATAACCTGGACCGCCTTTGGATCTGAGTCTGGCTGTGATATGGAAAGGGTGCTAGCCCATCAATGGCCATTCCAGGTGCACAGCCCAAGGAGCTCCCAGGGAGTCTAAGCAATTGTTCTTCAGTGCTACAAAGGTAGTGTTTGGTACCAGGCCAGTCAGCTTAACTGCAGGATCCTCTGCCCAACTAACCTGCTTGTAATGCCCTTCTCATAATAGAGCATTGGAAATGCTGTGTAAGAATGGGAATGTGTTGGCTGGGTGTGGTGGCTCATCCCTGTAATCCTAGCACTTTGGGAGGCTGAGGCAAGTGGATCACTTGAGTCCAGGAGTTCAAGACCAGCCTGGGCAACATGGCAAGACATGGTCTTTACAAAAAATACAAAAATTAGCTGGCTGTAGTGGCTCGTGCCTGTAGTCCTAGCTACTCGGAAGACTGAGGTGGCCGAAGGTAGAATTGCTTGAGCCTGGGAGGTCAAGGCTGCAGTGAGCTGTAATCCCACCACCACACTCCAGCCTGGGCAACAGAATGAGACTCTGTCTTAAAAAACAAAAAATAGGCAGAGTGCAGTGGCTTACACTTGTAATCCCAGCGCTCTGGGAGGCTGAGGCAGGTGGATCACCTGAGGTCAGGAGTTCGAGACCAGCATGGCCAACATGGTGAAACCCTGTCTCTACTAAAAATACAAAATAATTAGCCAGGTGTGGTGGTGCATGCCTGTAATCCCAGCTACTTGGGAGGCTGAGGCAGGAGAATCGCTTGAATCCGGGAGGTGTAGGTTGCAGTGAGCCAAGATTGAGCCATTGTGTTCCAGCCTGAGGGAAAAAAGCGAGACTCTTTCTAAAACAAAACAAAACAAAACAAACAAACAAAAAATGAGGATGTGTGCTTCACTGTCACACAGATCATGTGAACCTGGGACAAATCTTCGCTCTGCCTCTTTACCAGCCGCAGGGCTTCCAGTTATTTACTGACTCCCTCTCAGTAGGGATTTCTCTGTAGAATGGAGATAGTAATACCCGCCTCAGAGTGCTGTTGTAAAGGAGAGGGAGATAAAGGCAGTCTGGCATTTAGCAGAGTGCTCAGCATGCATAGTTTCTCAGTTCATTTTCTTCTCTTATCACCAAGTCTTGACTCAATGCTCTTAGGACCCACACCAGGCTGCTGAAAGATTCTGAGTGTCTTTGGTAACCAGATCATTTCCACAGTCACTTCTAAGTCCCTAGACTGCATTAAATTATCATCATTTCATTTTGTTTCTGAGAACCATGTGAATGGCTTCTAATCAGTTTACTCCTCAGGGCAGGATTAGACTAAGACCTTATAGATCAGATCTGCATGTCCATGAAAGCACCATCCATTTTGCAAGAGACCCAGACTCTTCCTGTTTGCTATAGATAAAGGTCCAGGACTTGCCTCTGTTGGAGTGACCTTCACTGAGCTATTCACAGGGTATCTGGGAGTTGGATTCCAAATGTGGGCTAGAGCAAGTAAAAAATCCTGTTGACTGGTGGAGAATAAGATGCAGCAGCCAGACTTAGGAATGAATCCTTTATGAGCTCTAACCCCCATTTCTGTCTCTTGTTAAATGTTGCCTTTGCATAAGTTACTTACCAGTGGTTGGTGATTTTAATTTTATCTATAAAAATTTAATTTTATCTATAAAAATAGGATCTGATACACACTTTTGCAGGATTTTTAAGATATAAATAAATTAAGGTATGTGAAGCACCCAGCACTGTGCTGGCACATTGGAGTGGTTGAATTAATAGCAGCATTCATTATTTCTACTGCTTACCAGAGACACCGCCAGTCACATAAATGGCCATTGCAACTGCCATTGAAAATCCGACATTGATCGTGATGATCCCTCCAAAACTTCCCCGACTGAGAATAGCTTGGGCAACAGACCCGCATCCAAGGACCTGGAATGAGAGAGAAACTCAACAAGTAAGCGAGGATGGCTAGTGTCAGAAGTAACGGAAACTCGCAGTAGCAAGTATTTTTAAAACAAACTCGTGCATTGGGTTGCCTTGGGTTTTATACAAATCAAATTATAATGATTCAGCTATACGCAGAGAACAAAATGGTGGACCCAAGGCTGCATTTGGCTTACAGATAGATGAGTTTTGCTGTGCCTGCACAATGCTCAGATTTTGCCTACATTTATAAATCAGGAAATTTCACACAATGATCTAATTATCTGATTTTCTTTAAAATTAAATTTTTTATTTTGAGACAATTATAGACCCACATGCGTTGTAAGAAATAATGCAGGAAAGTCCCATGTACCTGTTACCTGCTGGTTCCTTTTAATCAACCAGAAGATCTGGTTATTCACAGAGAAATAATTGAGCACAGTAGCAGCTGGGGGATCCCTTTAAACAGAGCTTATGCCTTCCCAACTGGCTCATTTCACTGCCCTTCACTCATTTAGGTCACCTTCCTGGCCTCTGTAGGTATTTGAGTTTGACAGTCCTGTTCTTGTGGCTCCCAGTATAAAAGCAGGACCAGGCACACAAACCACCATACACATATCCAATAAAGGGGAAAGGACACTTGTACTATGTATTAGGAAAAATGTCTGATATGCAAGAAAACAAAGGAAAATCTTAGGGGGATAGATTTGGCAATCAGGACCCCCTTATTCTCATGTATTTTCTCCCTGATGGGGCTATAGTTTCCTAGGGAGCAGAGGCTGCCAAACTCACTGCTTCTTATATTCCCTGTCGCACTAAGCCCAGTGCTGTGCTGATAGTAAGCATTCTGCAAACAGTTGCACAGTGAAGTGTGATAGTGAGTCTTCCACAGTCTTCAGCTGGTAGAGATATTTTGGAGAATGAAATCCATATTCAGAAAGGTTTGCAATAAATATATGATGGTACATCCAGTCAGTAGACTGCCAGTCTACTGAAAAAAATATAAGTAAAAGAAAATAGAATAAAGGAGATTCGTGTGCACCAAGGGGAAAGATCCCCAAGGTATATTATTAAAATTTTAAAAAGATACAGAGCAGTGCTAAAACATGCTGCCAATTGTATTAAATACATTACATGCATTTATTTTTATATACATGATCTCTCTCCATGAATACATAGGCAGCAGAAGTGGGGTTAGACCCGAAAGGGTTGTGGGGAGCGCATGACTGGCACAGAAGCTGGAAGAGAACTTTTCATTGTATATCCTCTCTTTTTTTAAATCCATGTGTTTTCTACTTTTTTTTTTTTAAATGGGCCCCACATATTCATTGAACAATCAGTTAAAACTATTTAATCACAGTCCATTAAAGAAATACTTGGCAAAGGACGGTTCTTGGGAAAGACAGAACAGTTGCATACAATTTTGGTAGGAAAATGAGACAGCAAATGGCCACCAGCTTTCACTGTGCTGTGGTTTAAAAAGCTAGTGTGGTCCTGGAGGCATAAGTGTAGGAATTATTAGATGATTAGATGGAATCCAGTTGGGATTTTATAACTAAAGAAGAGCAATTAACTTGAGGGACGTATTATTTAGGTGCAGGAAAATAGAGCATATGAGGAAATATTTCAGAAACAAACATATTTTAGGAAAAAGAGATTAACAATGTGAAGGCTTTTTATCAGGAAGATAATAACCTACTATTGTGTCTTTTCATAAAGGATTGAAAATGGAAGAGTCTAAAACTAAAATATGAAAACTTGCACAAAGACAATTTTTTTATTGTGATGAATTAATTCTAAATAGCTCCCTCAGGAGCTATTTAGAGGAGTATAAGTTACAAACAAGAGATATTTAATACATATAGAATGATTTCTCTGACAGCAGAGAAATTACGTAGATGATGTTTTCATGTCCCTTCCAGTCCCCAGTTCTAAGATACATCCGCTTGTCTTAGCAAGCAGAGAAAAGGTGGAGAGCTTTGCACCCTACACTGAATGTTAAATACAGTTACAGCAAGAACATGTCCCCTTTCTCTTTTCAAAAAAAAAAAAAAAAAAATCCCCTGGGTCCATTTTGTAGCCAAACAATTTCACCTAGACTTGACATTATTTTTTCCTAGAATCCTTATCTATTATAATAACTGCCGGAATTAAAACCACATTGGTGTCTCTCTTTCATTTTAATTTAAATCCAATTAAATGCTCTGGGCACAACTTCCAGGCGAACTGACATTTTTGTAGTATCTCCTAAAATGAGGAATAAAACAATACTGACAGCTGAGATGACTTGATTTAGACAGCCGGGGCTAAGAAGAGACACAAAAGAGAGAGGCCAGTCCTGAGCTATTATTGCTTTCTAAATAAGCGTCTCCCCTCTTTTATGATCCTGATGTACATGCACTTGTGCGAGTCTAGAGGGGACATAAAAGCTTTAAATGGTTCAAGTGGGCCCGTGGAGGCTTCTGCCTTGTCAAATTTCACTATGATTAATCCTCTCCTCTTCCACTCTAGATGCTGAAATGGCTTTTCTTAGGAGGATAATCAATGCTGTGTGCTGCAGGAAATAGGAGGAGAGATGGAGCAATGTGGGGACTTCAGTTACCCTCATCAGAAACGCTGCTCAGAGGATTGGAGCCCAGATTTCCAGCACTGCATCATAATTTAGAAATGTATTTGCTGTAGCCTGAAAAGCAACAAGGAAGCCAGGTAACTGCCTCCTGGTTTCTTCCTTTGCCTGCCTCCTCTTGCCTATATTCATAGCACCAGGACAGCAGATCATGGACATTCTAATGTATCATGAGCTGCTTGCTGGAAATATTGTCACCCACTCTGATTCTCTATGTGTTCAGTGTATTTTTTTCCTCCAAAAATGAGACAACTGTTTTTTATGGTATTGACGATAAAAGTTCCATCCTGATTCCCTGCTCTCACCTTCAAGAACTGCCATACCTTTCCCTTCTTAGACTCAAAAAGAGCACATTATCGTATCCACTCTGTCTTGATTTTCCTGGTCTCCCCATCTAGAAAGCATTTCTTTTTCTTTTTTTTTTTTTTTATTTTTCGTGCCGGGGTCTGTCTCTGTCACCCAGGCTGGAGTGCAGTGACACGATCTCGGCTCACTGCAAGCTCTGCCTCCCGGGTTCATGCCGTTCTCCTGCCTCAGTCTTCTGAGTAGCTGGGACTACAGGCGCCCGCCACCATGCCCGGATAATTTTTTATATTTTTAGTAGAGACGGGGTTTCACTGTGTTAGCCAGGATGATCTCGATCTCCTGACTTCGTGATCCACTCGCCTCGGCCTCCCAAAGTGCTGGTATTACAGGTGTGAGCCACCACGCCAGGACTAGAGAGCATTTTTAGGTCCATCGCCCATTCAGATTTTTCTGAACAAACCTAGTGTCTCTCCTCTGACGTTCAATTGTACTGTTTATACTCTACAGTAAGTACTTAGTTACCTTCCAAGTGCCTAATCTTGATTTCCTTATCTAGAAAACAGTCTCTTGGGTTCCTTTCCATATTAACATTGTGGATATTCTAATGTATCGTGGTCTGTAATATGAGAGTCTCTTTGATTTTATTCTGTCCTCTTGCTTCCTAAGTCCACCACCCACTCCTCCTCGGCAGGCCTACAGACCTTTAAGATTTCTTCTACCTTCTTGACAGGACCTAGCACTTGCTCAATCTAGCTGCCTCTTCAAGAAGAATTAGAAAAGTCACAAAACTATAGAGGAGATGGAGGGCATGACAAATGCATGGACATAGTGAAGATCTAGTGTCCAATGACTCCTTCACTGTGTCTTCAAAGTTCCTCATTAATCTTTCATTCATGTTCTCTCAATAGCTTCACCAAGCCTTCTCTTCTCTCATCAGCACAACCCACCCAACTGCCTTTCTGCAGGTAACACCACCTTCTGGTTGACTCAGCACCTATTAATGGATGTGAAGACCAATGGTAACTCAGAATATCACACAAACTTTGTATTTCAGTTATCCAGCACTGAAGAATTCACCACCCCCAAACTTAGTGGCTTAAAATGATAACATTTATTTTGCTTATGAATCTGCAATTTGGGAGCGGTTTGGCAGGGCATCTCATCCCTGCTCTACTTGGTATCAAATGGAGTGGCTCAAAAAATGAAACATTGGAATTATTTGAAAGCTTGCTTGTTCATGCATCTCAAGGTTGATGTTGACTGTCTGCTGGTACCTTAGCTGGGGCTTACACATGGTTTCTCCGTGGGGCCTGGCCTCTTTACAATATGGTGGTTGAGTTCCAAGACTGAGCATCATATAGGCTCCAGAGACTGTGCTCTTAAATCCTGTACCATGCCATCTCTCAGTTATACCATTTTGCTGGTTCTGAACTCGATAGCACACAGAAGGCATGTGATACAGGTATTATCCCTAAAACATCCTAAAGCGGTGTTCACCTAACCCATACTGGATCACCTTTAGGGATAGGGAGCTCATTACCACATTAGGCAGCTTGTTCTGTATACTTTTTATTGTTCCTGTGGTTGGAGCATCCTTCCTTACACGAAGTTGGATGCTTCTTTCCTGTAACTTCTGTCCATTAGCCCCCAGCATACTGTTGGGACCAAGGAGAATAAGCTTTTCACATACCAGGCATTGCAATAAGTGGAGGGGTATAATGCCCTCCCTGGATTCTCTCTTCGTTTGGATACTTGTCCCTTCATCTTTGATCTCTGTGTCTCCTTGGACTCCCAGTGAGTCTCACCTGGGTAAGCTCTATGTTGTCAGTGTCCCTCTTAAAACACAGAGCCCAGAAATGGACACAGTCCTCCCATATTTGTATATCACATTATGACATGGTAATTACCCTTCTGACTCATGGCTTCTATTGCCATCTGGTGCGACTCTTAGCCATGGAATATTATTTAACTGTTTACATATTTATGCCTGATTTTCTCAATTTTATAAGAAGATTTTCAAGATAATATGCTGAACTCTTTTTGTCTCTGTAACAGCTTCTATTATATTGGATGTAATTGAGTAACAGATCCTGGACATTATTTCCAGGGATGACACTTGTTGGCAATGTAAATGAACATGTTATTTCTCATTCTCAGCTTGCTCATATATTAAAGGGGAATAATGATATGTGCCAGGTTTGAATCATACGGTTTTTTCATAAAGAATCAAATGAGATAACATGAATAAAGGTAATATTTAAACAACAATGGGCAACAATAAGGGTAGGATATTATTGTTTTTAGTATAAACTCAAAAATTCCAGTTTAGGGTGAATAGGTTAAGAAAATAGACCCATGAACTTAACTGCTAACTCGCTGCCTGGCAATAAAAACAGGGGAGAGAAGACATCTATAAGAGAATACATCTAGTTGAAATATTTGCTGTTTCATTCCTAGTCATGGGATTTAATTTTGGTGAGAGAGGGAAAGGAGGAAGCTGATAAGATCTTCAAGTTGTTTTGACTATTTGTGATTACTCTCCAAAGAGAGGCCATTTCATAATTGGCAGGATTTTAGTGCTTTTTGTAGGAAAGCAATGCTAGAAAATAGAAAGATAAATGCTTTTTTTTTTTTTTTTTTTTTTACTATCAGTTTCCATACATGGAAGAAGGAAAAGACTTCCATTGGAAAAGGAAGAAAGACACTTGAAAGGCAGAATTCCTACAAAACATTGATTGGTGGGAATTCCTCCAGTCATTCCCGATTACCCAGAGCAAAAATTCTGGAATTATTAATACCTGTTATTCCTTCCTTTTCTCTCCCTTGGCCACCCATAGTCCATCATTCCCATATCTTGTCATGTGCAGCCTCCAATCAGTGTCCCCACCTCCGATCTCTCCCCATCCAGAGACCATGCCAGGTGAAGCACCACACACCACCTCCCCACTGCTCAGGAAATGTCAGCCCAGAGTCCTCAGGCTGGTCCTCAGGGCTCTCCATTGCCTTACCTGATGATTCCCAGCCACCTTCCTTTCCAGTATTCTTTAGCACAGATCTGCATCAGCCAGGCTGACATCCTAGTCACTTGGAGCCCTTTGAGCTGATGACACTTGTTTTCATCTCTGCACATCTGCAATGCTGTGCCTTTCAGAAGAAACACCCTTTCCTTGCTCCTTCTCCAGCTAAACCCAATCTATTCTTAATGATGAGCTGAAATTTTGCCTTCTCTATATGACTTTCTCTGACAACAGAAGCCCTCATTGACTTCCTGTGCCTACTCTACCACGTCTGCACTTTGCCATTTTATTATATACCTGCCACCTTGTCTTGTGGTACCAATTCCCCCAAAACTATAATGTCCACCAGGGAAGTACACTTTTTTTTTCAGGTTAATTGGAGAAAGCATACAAATTTATTTAACATGTATACATTGGAAGAACCACAGAGTGATTATCCTAATTCTTTATATTCCGTGCTGAAATAATAATATTTGATGAAATATATTAAAATATCTAAACTTAAGCAAGGGCAAAACAAAAACAAAAACAAAAACAAAAAAAACAAAACAAAACAATTTCCCTGCTTTCAAGTAAAAGCAGGAAAAGATAAAAAATTTAGTTTGGCCTATCCATCTGATAAGGGATTAATAACCAGAATATATAAGGAGCTGAAACAACTCAATAGCAAACAAACAAACAAACAAACAAAATCCAAATAATCTGATTTTAAAAATGGGCAAGAGATCTGAGTAGTCATTTCTCAGAAGACATACAGTGACCAACAGGTATAAGAAAAAAATGCTCAAACATCATTAATCATCAGAGAAATGTGAATCGAAACCACAATGAGATAACAACTCACCCCAGTTACAACAGCTTTTATCAAAAAGACAGGGAATAATGGATATAGAGAAAGAGGAACCTTTATACACTGTTGGTGGGAATGTAAACTAGCATAGCCACTATGGAAAATAGTGAGGAGGTTCCTCAGAAAACTAAAAATAGGACCGCCATATGATTCAGCAGTTTCACTACTGGGCATGTGTCCAAAAGAAATAAAATCAGTATGTTGAAGAGCTATCTGCACTCTCATGTTTACTGTAGCACTATTCACAATAGCCAAAATATGGAATCAACCTAAGTGCCCACCAACCAGATGAATGGATAAAGAAAATGTGGCATATATATGCAACAAAACATTATTCAACCATAAAGAAGAAGGAAATCCTGTCATTTGTAGCAATGTGAATGGAACTGGAGTCATTATGTTAAGTGAAATAAGCCAGGCATAGAAAGACAGACATCACATGTTCTCACTTTTATGTGAGAGCTAGAAAAGTGGGTCTCATGAAGACAGAGAGTAGATGGGGTGGTTACTAGAGGTCAAGAAACGGCAGAGGAATGAAGAAAGGTTGATTAATAGGTAAAAATATACAGTTTGATAGAAGAAATAAGACCTAGTGCTTGACAGATCAGTAACATGACTGTAGTTAACAATAATCTATTGTATATTTCAAAGTTGCCAGAAGAAAATAATTTGAATATTTCTAGCAGAATGAAAAGACAAATATTTAAGGCAACGGATCACCCAATCACACTGATTTGATTTTTATACATTATATGAATTAAAATGTCCCATGTACCCCCAAAATATGCACATGTTATGTATGAATAAAAAAAGAAAAGCAGGATACAAAACTACACTGAATAATCCTCCTTTAAACAATGTGGAAATGATAAATAAACAGGAATCTTAAAAAACCCAACTTAATTTG